TTTTAAGATTTTATTTATTTATTTGACAGAGAGAGACACAGTGAGAGAGGGAACACAAGCAGGGGGAGTGGGAGGGGGAGAAGCAGGCTTCCCACTGAGCAGGGAGCCCGACGTGGGCCTCGATCCCAGGACCCTGGGATCATGACCTGAGCTGAAGGCAGACGCCTAATGACTGAGCCACCCAGGCAGCCCACTTCAGCTGCTTCTACTTGGTGCCTTTTTCCTTCTCTTTTTCTTGTCATTTCCTTCAGCTGCTTCTTTTTTCTTTCTTTGGAGTATGGCATCTTCATTCATCTTCAGACAGTAGTAGCATTGATTTCTTCTAGCCTATAAACTTAAAAACCTCAGCACCTACTTCGCTAACATCTTTGCCTTCTACTCTTCTTCATGGTACTTGTGTTTTGCACTTTCCTTCTTTAGTAAGGTTAGAAGGTCTAATTGACCAACCTGTCTAGTCCACTGTCCCTCTGAATCCACCTACTTCTGACTTGCCAGCCCACCACTTCTTGAGTCCAGGCCCAGGTCTTAGTCCACTAGTGCTTTTCTGTTTCTCCCTTTCCCTTGGGTTTTTAAACATGTTGTTTCTTGAGCTTAGACAATTCCGTTTTCCAAACTACCCCCACCTCCAATCTTTTATGCCTTAGACTAGATGATGCTTTCATTGAGAAACCTTCTTTTTCTATAAATTGCTTTTCCTTTAGGATCCCATAGCATTTACCAAATTTTGTTAGGTATCTGATCTCACCCAGGTGGTAAGCTTTGTGAGGATAGGAACTGTTCTGTATTTTCCATACCCAGCGGTACAGTTTCTGACACATGGTAGGTAGTTAATAAATACTTAACTTTTGAGGTTAGGACATTTGAGTGCCTAGATGACTATGGGTGTTGTATATATGTTCTGTTATTATTGCTTTATAATAAGTACATTATTCCTAAAGTATGTAAAAAGCCTTATTTGGTATATCTCATGCTTACAAATAATATTAGTTTGCTTATACTCATGGAGAAAGTTGATTATAGAGTCATTTAAAATATTTAAGTATAATTATTTCCTTTATTTAGTTACAGCCAAGTTCTACTTCTGAATCTATGGATCAACTGCTAAACAAAAATAGAGAGGGAGAAAAATCAAGAGATTTGATCAAAGACAAAATTGAACCAAATGCTAAGGATTCTTTCATTGAAAATAGCAGCAATTGCACCAGTGGCAGCAGCAAACCGAACAGTCCCAGCATTTCCCCTTCAATCCTCAGTAACACGGAGCACAAGAGGGGACCTGAGGTCACATCCCAAGGGGTTCAGACGTCCAGTCCAGGATGTAAACAAGAGAAAGATGATAAAGAGGAGAAGAAAGATGCAGCTGAGTGAGTAAACTTTGAATTGAGCACATCCTGTTCCTTACTTTTTCTTAAAGTGTACAAGGGCTTTCAGCTCAAGAATCTCTCTGGACTTTTGGACTGCTTTATATGTAGCCCTCAAGTTGCAAACAACTGGTCTGAACAGCTGACATCTTAAGTAAATTAGGTCTTTGCACTGTGTACTCCTTTTCCTTCCTTCCCCATTTTTGTTCCCCATGGCCAGAATCTAGACTAAATTAAGAAAGACTCTCTTCTGTAAATGTACAGGGAGTTTTGGGAAGTATATATCCTGGATGCTAGTCAGTACCCACCTCCTAGCCCTGCTGCTAGAACCAAGAACTGCTATTGCCAAGAAAAGAAAGAAGTGTCTGGTGCCCCTACTTGGAATGCAGTATGTTTTCTTATAGAAACAATGTTTTCGTTAATTGTTAGATTTGTTAAGATAAACTTAATCCTCCACATTTGATGTATTATCAGTTGAATGGATCTTTGTGGGCGAGTCTCAGAACCTAACCACCGTTAATTTATCTGTTCATACAATCCATTTACAGCTGAACTTTTGGAATGCAGCTTGTTGATCTGTCAGACAGTGCTTGTTCTTCATATAAGGCAAAAATTTTTATTAGAGTCATGATTCTTCCCAAGGTGTGTCATGTAGGCAAACATTTTGTCACATTAGAAAATATTGCATGCTAGGGGGCATCTGGCTGGTTCAGTCTGCAGAGTGTGTGACTCTTGATCTCAGCGTTGTGGGTTCTTCCACCCGATGCTGGGTGTAGAGAGTACTTAAAATCTTAAAAAAAAAAAAAGAAAATACTGCATTCTAGAGAATTGGTATATTAGGGATTGCTTTTAGGGATATTTTGTCTTCTCAATTTAAGTTGATTTATTGATTGCCTTTGAGAGAAGAATTAATATTAACACTTTTTTTAGTATTTATTTGAGAGAGTGCATGCACGCGTGTGCATGGTTTGGGGAGGAGTAGGGGGAGAGGGGGATAGAGAGAATCCTCAAGCAAACTCCCCACTGAGTGCAGAGCTCGAGGCAGGGCTTGATCCCGGGACCCTGAGATCATGACCTGAGCCAAAATCGAGTCAGATGCTTAACCAACAGAGCCACCCAGGTGCTCCCACTTTTTAAAAAAAAGTGCCCTTTTTTGGCCTGTCTTTATCAGATTAAGGAGTGGGAAATATGTGTATGCATTTTAATGAAGAGAATTAGTGATCTAGTAAGAATTGTTTAATGTATGTTTAGCAGTTTTTTAAAAAGGTATAGAAGACTTGAGAGAAACACAAGTTCCATGCAAATTTTACTGGCCCTTTTTAATTTTCCCCTGGTTTAGGCAAGTGAGAAAATCAACTTTGAATCCTAATGCAAAGGAGTTCAACCCTCGCTCCTTTTCTCAGGTAAGGTTGTTTCTCTCTCTGAAGTAATCATAGTCTCAAAAAAATAAATTTATTATTGGTAATAGTATTTTCCCCATACCTGCCATCTAAACTCACTTACAGGATGCTGAAACAACTTGTAGTTTAAATTCCTTTTTCTTATATGGTCATTCATGAATATTTTTGAGTCATTGAAGAGATTCTTGTTTTATTTTGTCATCAATTAGATGTGATCTGTGGTAAATCTTTGAATCTTTCTGACTGGCTGGCTAACTAGGCTTTCAGGTTTATAGATAAACTATTTTTATTCTTCTGAATTTATAAGCTACTTACTTAATTTTTTAAAAACACTTTCTTCAGTTCCTTAAAAATCACAACTATTTTTAAAGTATTATTGATAAGTTGGCAATTATTGTAATTAATTGCAATTGAAATTAATTGTAATTTCTACCTAAGTGTTTTTCCTTTTATTTGAAACATGGAAGTTTACTTTCTAAAACTTTTTCATGAAAAGGCACTAAAAGCAAGTAGAACTTAGAAAGATGGGAAAGATCAGTTCTCAGATTGCAATAATAGTTAGCATTTCACCTTACGGTAATTGATTTTTATTTTTGTAGCCAAAGCCTTCTACAACCCCAACTTCACCTCGTCCTCAAGCACAACCTAGCCCATCTATGGTGGGTCATCAGCAGCCAGCTCCAGTTTATACTCAGCCTGTTTGTTTTGCACCAAATATGATGTATCCAGTCCCAGTGAGCCCAGGCGTGCAAGTAAGACCTAGATTTTGATGTTCATTTACCCTCCTTAGTTATTTGTATTTGATACCAAGCACTCTCTCGGTGTGTGGTGACTTAAGGCAGTAATGGCAAAACAAGAGTATTTGAAAGGGGGAGGCATGCAATGGCATGGTGTGTTGTTAGTATAAAAACCTAAATCTGAGAATGTTTTCTGGTGAGAAAGAAAGACGGTTTAGATTTACTGCAGTTTGGGGTTTGTCCTTTTAGGTGTGAGTATGATTTTATTTTTTAATGACTCCTGGAGAATCAAGAAACTTCAGAGCTAGCTCTCTAGCAATATACAACTAAGAGAAAATAGTAAAATATATTCTTACTACCTGAAAAGCCTAATATTCTTTTTTTTTTTTAATTCCCTCAAGCCTTTATACCCTATACCTATGACGCCCATGCCAGTGAATCAAGCCAAGACATATAGAGCAGGTAAAGGTGAGAATAATCCTGCCTGTGTTTGCTTGTAGTCTGCATGCTGCATGAATTAAGTAACTCATTTAGAATGAATGAATATTTGTAGTTCAGCTTTCACTTTTGATGAGCCTGTGCATTGACTTGTGATACCCAACATTACATAAGGTATTTGGATACACTTTTTTTCCCCCCAAGATTTATTTATTTGAGAAAGAAGGAGAAGGGGGAGGGGGCAGAGGGAGAGGGAGAAGAAGAGAGAAACTCGAGCAGACTCCTCACTGAGAGCAGAGCCAATCTCACAACCCTGAGATCATAACCTGAGCCAACACCAAGAGTCGGACGCTCAATGGACTGCGCCACCCAGGTGCCCCTAGTTGCATTTTTATGAACAAGACTAGGGGAGGAGAACTGCTCATCAGTTGTGATTGTTCAAGATCCTCTTCAAAAAGAATAATTGAATTTTGAAGTGTTCATTGTTAAATTTGAAGAGTGTTTGCTAAATTAATTTACTGGGTTGTTGACCTTTTTATTTCATACTAACATACAATCCCCCCTCCCCCAATCCAGAATTTCTTTTTGAGCCCAAGGGCATCGCATTTCAGCAACCATCAAAATCTTCATAGTAGAGGATGTTTCCTCATCTTTTTTTTTTTTAAAGATTTTATTTGTTTATCTGACAGACAGAGACACAGTGAGAGAGGGAACACAAGCAGGGGGAGTGGGAGAGGGAGAAGCAGGCTTCCCGCCGAGCAGGGAGCCCGACACGGGGCTCGATCCCAGGACCCTGGGATCATGACCTGAGCCGAAGGCAGACGCTCAACGACTGAGCCACCCAGGCGCCCCCTCATCTTTAAAATGAAAATGTTGTGGGGCGCCTGGGTTGGCACAGTCGGTTAAGCATCCAACTCTTGGTTTTGGCTCAGGTCGTGATCTCAGGGTCGTGAGATCAAGCCCTACGTCGGGTTCCAGGTAGTTTGCTTGGGATTCTCTCTCCCTCTCCCTCTGCTCCTTCCCACCCTCAAATAAATAAATAAATCTTTAAAAAAATAATAAAATGAGAATGTTTATAATCCAATATTCTACACTTGGGATTAAACAGCCTTCATGGGAAAAAACACACATTGATCTTTTTTTTTTTTAAGATTATTTATTTATTTTATTTATTTGAAAGAGAGAGACAGAGATAGCAAGAGAGAGCACAGGCTGGGAGAAGCAAGCTCCCTGCTGAACAGGGAGCCCAATGGGGACTTGATCCTGGGACCCTGGGATCATGACCTGAGCCGAAGGCAGACGCTCAACCAACTGAGCCACCAGGCACCCCAACACATATTGATCTTAAAAGGAAATCTTTTAGGGCGCCTGGGTGGCTCAGTTGGTTGAGAGACTGCCTTCGGCTCAGGTCATGATCCCGGAGTCCTGGAATCGAGTCCTGCATCGGGCTCCATGCTCAGCAGGGAGTCTGCTTCTCCCTCTGACCCTACCCCCCCCCCACTGTCTCTCTGTCTCTCTCAAATAAATAAAATCTTTAAAAAAAAAAAAAAAGAAATCTTTTAATGTTGGCAAATGCTAAAGGATGTCCTTTTTCGCCATGCAGGTAGTTGAGAGCTATTAATTGCTATCATTTTATTAAGAAACTATAGAAAGTAAATGATTTATATTAAAAAGATATTTCTCAATGCCCAGTAATACCCTCCTGACCTAAAACTTTGACTTCTTAAATTAATAAGCTTTCCTCAGTATTTGAAGTAATCATTTTGTGGATGTTAATTAAAATTCTTAATTTTTTTTTTAAACAAGTATGGTATCCTTTGCCTTTGAACACTGGAACGTGTTGAAAGAACTGTAGCTTGGATAATTTGAAGTTACCTAGTTTTAAGATTAATCTTATTCTGTGGATCTAAAAAAATTCAGGTGGAGAAAAGGTTCTTTTAGTGCCATTTTGAGTGAAGTTAACATTAAGGTGTTCCTTCCTCTTACACTGTTGGTGGGAATGCAAGCTGGTGCAGCCACTCTGGAAAACAGTATGGAGGTTCCTCAAAATGTTGAAAATAGAGCTGCCCTATGACCCAGCAATTGCATTACTGTGTATTTACCTCAAAGATACAAATACAGTGATCTGAAGGGGCACCTGCACCCCAGTGTTTATAGCAGCACTGTCCACAATAGCCAAACTATGGAAAGAGCCCAGCTGTCCATCGGCAGATGAATGGATAAAGAAGATGTGGTATATCAATACAATGGAATACTACTCAGCCATCAAAAGAAAAATGAAGGGGTGCCGGGGTGGCTCAGTCAGTTAGGTTTCTGCCTTTGGCTCAGGTCATGGTCCTGGGGTCCTGGAATGGAGTCCCGCATTGGGCTCCCCACTCAGTGGGGAGTCTGCTTCTCCCTCTGCTCCTCCCCCTGCTTGTGTTCTCCCCCCCCCCTCTCCCTCTCAAATTTAAAAAAATAAAATAAAAATGAAATCTTGCCATTTGCAAAGTATGTGGATGGAACTAGAGGGTATTCTAAGCGAGATAAGTCAGAGAACAACAAGTATCATAATCTCACTTGTATGTGGAATTAAAGAAACAAAACAGGATCATAGGGGAAGAGAAGAAAAAATAAAACGAAATCAGAGAAGGAGACAAACCATAAGAGACTCTGAAGCATAGGAAACAAACTGAGGGTTGCTGGAGGGGAGGAAGGTGGGGGATGGGGTCACTGGGTGATGGACATTAAGGAGGGAACGTGATGTAATGAGCCCTGAGTGTTATACGAGACTGATGAATCACTGACCTCTACCTCTGAAACCAATAATACATGTTAATTAATTGAATTTAAATTAAAAAAATACTAAGGTGTTCCTATATTACTACCTGGTTTGGGGATATTTTAATGATTATTTAAGACAGCACAATGGGGATGTTTTTATGTTAAAAAAAAAAGATAATTGCAGTGAAAGCAAGCACTATAGTATGGCTCTGATGGGAGAGAGGCACTTTAACTTCAGGCGGCAGTGTCATTTCCCATAGACAGAGAAGTTGTGCGCTCCGAGGGACCCTCAGCCAGTGTTGCAGAGCCAGTTCCCAGAAGGTGGAACAGGCACACTACAAACAGCAGCTGTAAACATGTGCTTTGCTAAGAAGGTGGAAAGTGACATGGTAATTGCTTGGTCCATAGTTCAGATTTTGTGATTACCAAGATTTTGCCATATTTATTTGAGGGGGGCTTTGTTTCTTTGCTGCAGTATTTAAAGTAGATCCCAGACGTCATGCCATTTTATTTCTACATACTTAGTGTGTATTCTTTTGAATATGGGACATTTTTCTTAGCTAGCCAGAGTGCTGTTATCATACTTTATAAAATAGTAATTCCTTTTTGTCTAATAATCACCATAATTACATTACCTTGGTTGAGTCATGTATATATTTTTACAGTTGGTTTGTGTGAATATGGATCAAAGTAGTAAGATCCATACTTTATTACATTTATTACATGTCTTTGTAATTCCCCTGTTTTCCCCCCTGCTATTGCTTTGTGGCAGAAACCAGTTGTTATATAGGAATGTCCCATATTCTAGATTGTTCACTTCTTGTGATGTCATTGATTACATTCAGGTTTAATTTTTTTGTGGGAGAGAGGTAAGAATATTTAATAGATGATTGTGAGTTCCATTGGATCATTCAGGAGGTGTACAAGATCTGGTCATACTTTGATAATTGGTAAAATTAAGGGCTCAGGTGGTGATAGCCCAGTCCTCCCCTCCCCAGATGTAAAGTTTTCTGTTACTCTTTCATATAATTTGTTAGGGCTCTGGTTCTCAAATTTTAGTGTGTATCAGAATCACTTGGTGAGTTTGTTAAAAACACAGATTGCTTGGCCCCAGCCCCAGAGTTTCCAATTCAGTAGGTTTGGGATATAGCCTGAGAATTTAAATTTCTAGTGCAGCTTATAAAACTAGTTCCCTAGTGATGCTGATGGTCTGCGATCATACTTTGAAAATCATTGCAGTTAGGAGTTTGAAAACAGTAATTTCTGAATTCCTAGCATTTCTTTTCTGTTCATTAGCTGGAATCATCCTGTAAGGGACTGTTCTTTTCAACTAGGGCTGTATATGGTTATCCTCAGATAGTTGGTACAGGAAAGTTAGAATAAATGCTTAAATTTAAGGGCTTAAAATTGCCTTGAGTGCCAGTTTCCAAGGAGGAGTTGGTGCCCTTGATACTTTTCAGTAGTGTCTAGTGAAATTGTTTGCTTTGAAAGATGTCGCTGTCTCCCCTTTTTTATTTTTTAAATATTATGAATGCATGGATTTTCATATACTTTTATATATTCATTGTGTTTCAGTCAATTATTCTTTTTGCTGCTCCTGTTGTCCCATCTTTTATCAATGGCAGTCCCTTCAAGTTGGCTTCTGTGTCCTTTTGGTACTATTCATTTGTCTTTTTTTGAAGATTTAATTTGTTTATTTGAGAGAGAGCACATATGAGCAGGGGAGAGTGGCAGAGGGAGAGGGAGAAGCAGACTCCCCGCTGAGCAGGTATTCCCGACATGGGGCTCAATCCCAGGACCCCAAGATCATGACCTGAGCTGAAGGTAGATGCTTAACCGACTGAGCCACCCGGGCGCCCCCTCTGCATTTGTCTTTGATAACTTCCTTAGTTTCTGCTGTAAATAAGATGTTTCAGGTTAATCTTTTTCTAAACCCAGACCTGGATCCATATTCCTTCAAGGAATCCTGATTCTTTTTGCGGAAATAGTATTTATAAACCGTTTTCTGGTCTTTGGGTATGCTGTTGAGTTACTGTGTCTTGGCCTTTTCAGTGGACAAAATTAGGAAATTCATACTGATACATCTGATTCAAGTTAACACTGCAAGATTTTTACAGTGACTTCTTGCTTGCATCTCTTTTTCTTTTCCATTGAAAACTTTGTAAAAATAGTAACTGTATTATCCTTTTAAAAAAGAAAAAGAGGGGCGCCTGCTTGGCTCAGTCGGTTAAGCATCTGCCTTTGGCTCAAGTCATGATCCC